AGCTCTTTGTATATTTTTATGGATATTATTGATGGGTCCAGTTCCCCTTTATGAAGTGAGAAGTCAGACTCAGCCTCCTTCATAAAGCATCTGTTATCTGTACAGTGCCCAAAGTATATGAGATGAAATGAAGTTTCACCTCCTTGTCTCTAAGGAATACTCTAGATGAACTTTCTCCAACACTTTTTTCTTTTGGTAGTCATGGAATATTTAGTATTCTTCTACACTACAACTCAAAGGCATGTATTTTTTTCTTCTTTCATGTTTAGTCATTGCAAGTTTTTAGATGCATAGCAAGTAATTGAAAAGACCATGAATTAGGCATACCTTAGTCTTCAAACTGCCATCGGTGCACCTCAGTACTTTGGAGAGGTCCTTGACAGTAGACTCTCCCAATACAGTACAACTTCTGTCTTTTTATTTCTTGACTGCTGGTGCCATAGGTATTGATTTTGGATTCAAGTAAGATGAATTAGTTGACAGTTTCAGGCCTTTTCCCATCTATCATGATGTTTCATATTGGCCAAGTGTTAAGAATTTTTGTCTTCTTTTTTTTAATTATTATTAATAACAATGAAAATTTACAGAGACTTTGGATTTCCATTCATTCATTGTTGCACTTTTCTCCCCTCCAAACCCTCCCCCCCCCCACACTACCCTCTTGGAAAAGAAAAATTATTTCATTGTTTTACAATCCCTCCCCCCAGGTCTACTCCACTACAGCCTTCGTTCTGGACTCCCATCATGACAAAAAATATCTAATCACATATCCCTTTTACACAGTTTTCTCCTTCATCTGCTTCAATGCAGTATACATTATTGAACCTTTCTCAGTCTCCCCCCAACCCTGATGTCAGTTCTGTTTTACAACAGTGGCACCATGCAGTATTTGTCCTTTTGTGACTGAGATACTTTATTTAGCATAATGTCCTCCAGGGTCACCCATTTTGAATAATATTGCATGAGTTCCTTGTTTTTCAATGCAGTGTAGTATTCCATTGTGTGAATATACCACAGCTTCTCTATCCATTTGTTTGTTGATGAGCACTTAGGTTGTTTCCAACTCCTTGCTATTGTGAACAAAGCCACGGTAAACATGGGTGTGCTTGGGTGGCAGTTATGGTTTCTTTTGGGTATATTCCCAGTAGTGGAAATGATATTTCTATGTGCAACTTTTTGAGAAAGCGCCATACAGCCTTCCACAGTGGTTGCACCATTTAATACTTCCACCAACAGTGATTAAGGGTTCCAGTTTCTCCACAACCTCGGCAGCATTTGTTGTTTGCTGGTCTGTTAAATTTTGCTATTCTGACTGGGGTGAGATGATATCTCATAGTTGTTTTGAATTCTTATCTTCTTAATGTTGAGATGTAATCTATATTGAAAACTGTAGTCTTTGGAGCAAGGTTGTGTCATCTGGATAATGCAAGTTGTTGATGAATCTTTCTCCTAATGCCATAGATTTCTTCATGGAGTCCAACTTATTGAATGATTTGCTTAACATACAGATTTTGAATAGGTGTGGAAAAAGGATACAACCCTGACACACACCTTTCTTGATTTTAACTATGCAGTGCAACACCTTCTTGGTCTAGGTATAAGTTTCACATGAGCATCATTAAATGTTCTGGGGTTCCCATTCTTCTCAATGTTAACTAAAGTGATTCACGATCCACAGAGTCGAATGCCTTTAAATAGTCAAGAAAACACAAATAGACATTCTTCTGGTATTCTTTGTTTCCTGCCCACATGTATCTGACCATCTTATAGTACCACTAAGTATCAGAGGAGTGTCTCTCTGTTCTTCATTGACTATGCAAATGCATAGTGAGTGTGTGGATCACAACAAATTGTGGCTAGCCTTCAGAAGAATGGGAATCCCAGGACACTTGATTGTGCTCATGTGAAACCTATACTTAGACCAGGAAGCAGTCCTCAGAACAGAGCAAGTAAACAGTGCATTGTTTAAAATCAAGAAAGGAGTGTGTCAGGGATGTGTCCTGTCTCCATATCTTTTCAGTCTGTATGCAGAACAGGTCATTTGGGAACCGTGTGCCTTTGCGCTCAGCTTCTTACCACTAGGCCACCAGAGCTCCTTGTGATCTGGAAGAGTGAAAAGTTTTTGCCTAAATCGATACAGAAATACAGACAGTCTCCCCTCCAGCCCAGCCACTTCAGGTGGTGAAGACCAGCTGGGTGGTGGTCCAGCTCGCTTTGGGTTATGAGTAAGACCACCAAAGGGGCATCTTACACGTAGCTCCTGCTCCCTGCTTTTCAGTGCCACCTTGCATATCATTTCATTTGATGCTCATGCGGTGGGTTAGAAGGTTTATCAGATGGTTTCCAAAGTGACAGCTGGCTGGGAGCAGATCTAGTAGAGGGGGCAATGAGGCATAGCAGAGGAGTTTGCACCAGAAACAGGGTGGGATGGGGGCTGTCAGAGCAGGGCGGTACCTTTGGGAGAGAAGCCCCTCATTGGAGAGACCTGAGGAAGGGTGGAGACATAAGTCCTCCAGGGGTTGATTTCCCCAAGCTGTCTGGGAATCCCTCCCTTGGCCATCACTGGGCCGGAAGCCTGGGTGATTCATGAACATGTTCCGGAGGATGCCATATGCTGGCACCAGATTGCTGCTGCATCTGTCAGTCAGTCAGTCTGTCTGTCTGTCTGTTTCTGGCTACTACTGCTGGGTGAGGGATGTGGGCGGTAGAGTTGACTGTTGTCCAGACAAACTGCTGATGGATGGCTTCAGTGACTCAGGAAAATGTCTCTTTCTAGACCTTTCTGGCTCTCCGACTGCTTTCCTGGTGGTGTGGCCAATCTGTGCTCCTCAGTCTCCCCCAGAGAAGGTACAGCAGGGGAGCCCAAGGGTCCTGCCCAGCGCTGACATTTGGAGTTGGCTGACAGGAAGCAACACAGACCAGTCCAGTTTCCTCTTCTCTGGGAAGAGAGACCCAGGGTGATCTACTTCATGGGAGTAGACAGGGAAAATATCTTTGGAATGACCTTTTGGAACATCTGGAAAGAAGGTGGGACAAGGCTGAGATAGTTGGAAGGGAGAAGAGCTTAAACTTTTAGTTCAGCAAGCGAATCAGTACCTACCGCTTTGGAGATGAGGTGTGTGGGGTCAGAGTTCACAGGCATCATCTTCGGAGCAACTGGGAAACCATCCAGGGAACGGTAGACTGAATCCACACAAGAGATAACAAGCAGGTACCACTGGAACCTCTGAGACACTGTAGAACACACCTCAGCGTTGTTCCTTAGGAGAAGCCAATAATTATCCCCCAAGCCCTGCCCATCACTGGATGAGGGCCCTCGGGATTGAAAAAACTTCCTGGTGCCTCTAACCTGGCCTGGCAGAGAGGCCTCAGGAGCAAAGCACAGGAGGAGACTGGGTGAGTGCATTGTGTATAGGAACTGAGGGCTCAGGAGGTGGCCGGGCATCAACAACCTTTCAAGCTGGTACTGTCATACAGATGAGAAAACAGAGAGGTTGAATCATTTCCCAGCCAGAGACCAAGTATCCACCAGGCTGCCTTACTTTCTGACAGTAGCAGGTCTTCAGGAATCGTCTCCTGGAGCCTCAGCTTCCACATCAGTAAGATGGGCCCACACCTGCCCAACTCCACCTTGCAGGACAGTGAGAGAATTGAGGTAATATTTGCGGAACTCTGAAGCACTGCCTGGCCCATCCTTGGGGTTCAATGAATGAGGCTTACAATATCAAGGTTTCTTGTCCATCTCTTGACATTTGGAGTTAGCTGATATTTGTTCAAAGGCCTTTGTCCTCGAATAGTGTGTCCATCATCTGGCTGCAGTGCCCTCGACTCTGAAAGCCAGAGCTTGTTTTGTTAGCCCGGCCTTGACCATCACCGTGTATGTGTTCTCCAGATGTGACATGTTGCTGTTGTTATGTGCCATTGAATCACTTGCAGCTCATAGAGACCCTATGTACAACAGCCTTAAACCCTTAAACCATGCCAATCTCACTGTCTCAGACACACCTCACCGCATTGCCCTAGTCACTGAATCAATCCCCCTTATAGGGGGTCTTCCAGTCCTGTGTTGTCACTCCACCCTCTCAAGTATGATATCCTTCTCCAACGACTGGTCCCTCCTTGCAGCATGTCCAAAGTATGTCAGACGAAGCTTCAGAATCCTGCCTCCAAGGAGCCTCCTGGTTTAACCCTCTCCAGTACGAACCTGTTTGTTTTCTTAGTTGTCCATGATTTTTGTCAATACTCTTCTCCAGCACCACAACTCAAAGGCATCAATTCTCCTTCTATCCTCCCTAGTAATTATCCACTCTCTGATGCATAGCAAGTGATTGTAAAGATCATGGCCTGTATCAGGAGCACCTTAGTCTCCAGAGTGACACCATTGCTCTTCAGTACTTTGCAGAGGTCCCTAACAGCAGACTTTCTCATCTCAGTATGTCTTTTAATTTCCTGGCTGCTGGTGCCAAGAGTGTTGACTGTGGAGCCAAGCAAACTAAAGCTGTGAACAATCTCAATCGCTTCATTACCAGCACAAGTGAGATGATTGAATAAACTAGCACTGAGCTAAATCCCAAGAGACTAGGATGCTGGGTACATTTGGATGGCTTGATTTTTTTTTTCTTCTTTATAAAAGAAAAAAATGTGGTCAGAGGAGAGTTTCTAGAAATGGCTGAAATGTTGGGCAGACTGGGGTTGAAATGAAAGGGAGGGCGCTGGGATATGGAGGGTGTGTGGTGATGGTGTTTGACGGGGGCTCACAGGGTATGGAGGGTGTGTGGTGATGGTGTTGGGCTGGGGGCTCTCATTAAATAGGCAAAACTGAAGAACTTCCAGGCCGCCCAGTACTGGCATTTAATGAGAACCTAATAAAAAGCCTTTTCTTCCTGTGTTGCCTGAGGCTGGGCCAGAGGCAGCCTCTTGGTCTCTGAAAAAGAGTTTTTCCAGCAGTCCCCCACTTCCTCCCCTCAGGCTCTGCTAACTCCTCTCCCCTCCTCTTTCAGGAACCTCCTGGACAAAGACATGTTTTCCAAGTCTGACCCACGTAAGTCCAGTTCTGACAATAATAACTTTAACAATAGCAGTATTATGAGTAACTGGAAGCAGCGAACCCGTTAGCCCTCACTGAGTATTAACTACGTGCCAGGCACTATTCCAAGTGTGTAAAGGCTGTTTACTGATTCACTGATGCTGCCTGGAGAACTGGGGGTGTGCCCCCTCGGACTCCTGGTGTGTGGGAAGCAGGTCCTTGGACTCCTCTAAGCTCAGTTTCCCCATCAATAAAACAGAGGAGGATAATTAGCTGTCTATGCCTCAGGAGTCTGCGATGGGGTCTAAAGGGACAGTGGAAGTTTTATCCTCTCTCTCCTGCCACACCTCCTCCATCATGTTTTCCATCATGCACACCTGTCTACCTGCCTCCCACTTCAGACCTCTGGGTTCCGCCTGCATGTAATGACCTTTGACCCCCTCCTAGACATACCTGTGCTCTGCTGCCACCAGTAAATTACCATCTTCCTAAACAAATAAGGTTTTTACCAAACTGAGCAACCTGAATTATATGTATTTGCCTATTGTCAATGCAGTTGCATTATATGTGGAAAACAGAAAAATATGGAAATTGATACATCTAGAACCTTCATAGCCCACAGTCAGGGGGCAAACTCTTAGACCCACCCACCAAGACAGCTGACACCTCAAAACACACCCGACTAATCCCATAGGACCATCTTGGCCTTATTTCCTGAGAAACCTACTGGAGGGTCCACCTATCTGGGACCCATCTTCTTCTTGGTCTGTGACTTTAACCCTTTGTTCTCCTCTCTCTGCAGTATGTGTCATGTATACTCAAGGAATGGAGAACAAGCAGTGGAGGGAGGTATGTACAGCCTTTTCCCTACTCTGGAAATGCCACCCTAGCCCTAATTGTCTCTCTGTCTCTAAATCTGGTGTGACCCACTCCTGATATGTTTCTGACTACAGCATCTGAACCTTACCTCCTCTCCATGAAGCCCAGAAAGGGTAGAATCTTATCTCTGCTGTTGTGGGAAGATACTGAAGATGAAGGGGATGGTTTCTGCCCTTCAGGAACCTCAGTCTAGAGGGGAAACCACCTTGTCCTCAGGGAGCCCCAATCTGAGGGGAGACACAGCCCTGACCTCAGAGAGTCCCAGTCTGGGGTGAGACACAGGCCTGTTCCCTGGGAGCCCCAGTCTGAGGGGAAACACAACCTGACCTCCAGGAGCCCCTGTCTGAGGGGAGACACAGCCCTGTTCTCAGAGATCCCCACTCTGAGGGGAGACACAGTCCTGTTCTAAGGGAGCTCCAGTCTGAGGAGAGATACAAAGAGTTCCAGCCCATCATTACTTCGTCCTCTGGTTGTTGCAGCATCTAGTACTATACCTTATAAAACAAATTCTATGGATATTTTGTGGTTCATGGAACAAGCTATCCAGTAGTTTCTGTACTGTGAACATGACTTCAGTAAAGTTATTCCTCCTTTTGGAAATCCTTAGTGAATCCCCACTATTTGGATTAAGTTTCAGTCCTTAGCCTGGTTTCTAAGCTCCACCACGACCTAGGACTTCCCTAGCCTTTCAGGAAGCCTTGAGAGGCCCTTTCCAGTCTCTCCCACTCCTTTACCTATTCCCATTCTCCATTTGCCTTAACTGCTACCTCCTTCCTGCCCACGGGCCCTTCTTTTTTCTGGTCACCTTCTCCTCCTTGGATGTATTTTCTTGGTAAGTTAGTGCTGCTATAACACAATCACTACAAATGAATGGTTTTAATAAACATGTATGTGTTCTGTCACAGGTTAGATGGCTAGAAGTCCAAATCGAGGGTGCCAGCAAGGGGAAGGCTCTGTTGGCTCTGGAGGAAACCCTGTTTCCTTTCAATAAGTGTGGATTCAGTATCTCCTGTTGGCTCTGGAGGAAACCCTGTTTCCTTTCAATATGTGTGGATTCAGTATCTCCTGGCTTCAATTTTGTTTTGGTCTAGGAGGTTCTTAGCACCAGGACCCCTTGTCCACAACATGAGTTCCACTCTCAGCCCTTTCTCTTGGTAATGAGCTCCCTCTCCTCTCTATATACTCCTACCCTCTTTTATATTTTGTAAGAGAAAAGGTATGACTCAAGCAAAGGTGTGACTTAAGTAAGGAAGGGACTTGGGTAAGGTTTCGGGCTAGAGTAAGAATGGGATGTGAGTCATACCCTCTTGTTAGATGGTGACTCAAGATACACCCCACACTAGCTTGATCTCATTAACATATGAAACTTCTTTGGCATCAAGTTAATTTTCTAATTCATAGTGACCCTCTGTCAGTTTCTGAGGCTATAGGCGGCTACATGTTCTCTCCAGCTGAGCAGCTAGCGAATTCAAACTTCCAGCCCCTTAGCTTGCAGCCAGATACGTGATGCACTATGCTACCAGGGCTCCTTTGAAGCATAGTTCATAGTCCTGGGAAGTAATTATTTTTTGTCACATGGGATCACTAAGAGTTAAAATTAGGATTTATCCTACTTTACACAATGGAGGATAACCACACAATATTGCAATCATAGCTTAGTCAAGATTACACATATTTGTTGTTGGGATGTGACATTGTGTCCACTAGGATCCACGGTGACCTTGCCCTGTGACCTTGCATAGTGACCTCTAGACCTTGCCCTATCCTGAGCCAACCTCACCATCTCTGACACATCTGACTCTGTTGCCACAGTTATTGAGTCAATCCATCTCATTCAGGGTCTTCCTCTTCTGCGCTGACCCTTTGCCCTTCCAAACATGATGTCCTTCTCCAAGAACTGGTCCCTTCTGGCCATATGTCCAAATATGTGAGATGGAACTTCAAAACACTTGTCTCCAAGGAGTAAAACGGATTTCATCCTCTCCAGGAAAGACCTGTTTATTCTCTTGGCAATCCAGCACCACAACTGAAAGGCATCGTTTTCTGTCATCTTTATTCATTGTCCAGCTCTCAGATGCATAGCAAGCAATTGAGAAGACCGTGACCTGCATCAGGTGCACCTTAGTCTCTACATTGACATTGTTCTTTAGCACTCTAGAGAGATCTTTGACAGCTGAGAGATCCTCTACCAGAAAGAACTGGCTGGTACAGAACCTTTTCAGGAAGTAGCATATGATCAAGAAGCAATAACAATAAAGGAGGAAGTTCAAACTGCTCTGAAGGAATTGGCAAAAAAATTAGCTCTCAGGAACTGGTAGAATACCAATTAAGATATTTCAATAAACAGAAGTAGCCCTGGCTGTGCTCACTAGCGTGTGCCAAGAAACACATATTTGAGCAGGGCCATAAATCCAATTTGTGACAGCCTTCATTAGACATTGAACCAAGACATACTCACGGATGCTGGATATGTAGACCAAGAGGAGCTCTCTCACCTCTAACCTGTAGTAATGCTCTCAAGGATAGAGACGTAGGCATGTTCATTGTCTGGCTCTTAGTCATGTCTCACAGCCAGTCACTGGGCTGGCATATGAGTGAGCAACTGAGAGAGTGCTTCCCCCACACTCTGTAGCTACACAGGAGGTACTGTCCTGGAGAGCCTCAGAGAGGGATGCAAAGAGTGAGAAGCCAGCCCGATGAGGACTTACCTGACAGAAGAAAAGGAACTGACTTCACCAAATCACATCAATCTCCCGAGGACTGAAGCCATGGATGGTGATGGAGTATATGAGGAGAGAGAATACTCAAAAGACCCACTTTCAGTAGCACCCCAAGACCTTTAATGGGTGGTGAGCATCTTCTAGTCTTCAGTCCACTCCCCACTAGGGTCAAAGGGATCTTGTTAAAATGCAAGTCAAATTCTGTCTCTCCTTTACTTACAGCTCTCCCGTGGCTTCCATCTCACAAAACCAGGCCTCCCAGTCACCCAGCAGACCTCTCATAGCTGCCTCCTCCTGCCATGTACATACACCCTCACTTACTCCACTTCAGCTCCACTGGCCTCCTTCCGCTCCAGGCCTTTGCATGTGCTGTTCCTTCTTCCTGGAATGCTTTCCCCCTCAGATGTCCATGTGACCTGCTCCGTGCTTCCCTCATATCTTGACTTCCCTGGTTACAAATCTAACATTTCAAGCTCTCCAACATTTCTTATTCCCCTTCCTCACTTAATTTCTTCCTCCATCTACTAAATTAACCATCTACCATAATTATTTCTGGGTTTTTGTCATCAACTAGCTCCACAGGAGCAGAGATTTTAATCTACCTCAGTCACTATTATGAACACCTCAAGAAGTCCCTGTTGTTGCTGTTGTGTGCTGTCGAGTCAGAGCTGACCCATAGCTGACCCCCCCCAGCGGGTTTCAGAGGTCGTTAATTGCATGGGAAGAGATTGCCCATTATTCTCTTATGGAGCAGTGGGTGGATTTGAACCACATACCTTCAGGAATGCAATGTAGCTTCTTACCACTCAGCCACCAGAGCACCCTTCCTGGGATATATTGAGTGCTTAAATGACTGTTAAAAGGAATGAATGGATAAGGAAAGGGGGTCTCATCTTGTGGAGGGTTACAGGATGTGGCAGCATTGTCACTTTTCCATATCTCCTTCATTCTTTCCTTTTCAGTCCCCCACAGGAATTGTCCTTTCTTTGTCTTGGAGAGACGATTTTGAGGGACCTGTGAGGAGAATGTTCTTTCCTAGGTGGAGGACTGGGGTCCGTGCCAGTTTATGGGCCCCCAGGTGCGACACTGGCTGGTTGGCCTTGGCAGTTCCAGTTGAGGCCAGTTCCACCCACGCTGGGGTCTTCATAAGAAAGAGGGAAACCCCATGGCTGATGGGAGGGTACCAGCTGTGAGGAGCAGGACATGGCCTGATCCCCAGGGCTTTCCAAAAAGGAAAAGGTCCGTAGAATGAGGACAGCAGCCCACAGGGCCCTTCCGTATGACAGAACAAGGATCGCCAGTAAAACTTTAGGAACTCAGACATTATGAATGGATTGTCACCTGCCCAGCTTCCCTCCTCACAGGGCATGCAGCCTGAGGGAGCAAGTTTTGTTCACAAAATAGGTAGGAAATATTTCCACAGGGACTGGGTTAAAGTTTTCTTTTTCACTCTCTCCAGGACTCTAAGCCAATTAAAGTGTAAACTAGATTGCTAGGGAAACATTTAGCCTACTTAAATCAACTAATTACTTTTGAGGCCTTTTGACTGAGCTTCCTACAAATCAGGAGCATGTTAATGTCTTAGTGATTCATTAAGGAAAGTCTGGAAAGGCCTTTTCAGAAGGACACTGCTTTGTGATCCATTAATTAAATTCTGTAATTGAGACTCCACTTGGTTCAGGATCTCCTGATCTTCCAGGCCCCATCTTGTTACTATAGGCACCCAGAGTCTGGAAAGAGCTATGAGGGGTCAGGGTAGAGCAGAGCAAAGTGGGAGGCTTTATGTTCAATATGCCTGTACTTCCTGCTTCAGCCATTTCTGGCTGTGCAACCCGGAGCAAATTTCTTAACTTCTCTGAGCCCTTGTTTTCATATATGTGATGTGAAAATAGATACAGTCGTCATCTATAAATAGTTGCTCTTGAGTTGGTTCTAACTTACTGTAACCTCATATATGTCAGAGAGTAGAACTGTTTCATAGGATTTTCTGTATTTTGTTTCTTTTTATATATGTGTGTTATTATGTATCATCAAGTCAGAGCAGATTTCCAGAGGCAGGAAATTGCACAGAAAGTGATTGCCCATCTTTTTCCTGTGGAGCAGCTTGTAGATTCGAACACTGTGCCTTTTGGTTGGCAACAGAACACCTTACCACTAAGCCACCAGAGTTTGTATGCATGTGTGTATGTGTGTGTGTACATGTGTGTAGATAGATAGATATAGATGATGATATAGGTGTAGATGTATATA